GCTCTAAAAAAATAATTGTTTTTTTAATTGTATATGTTTTTTCGAGATTCTGGACGCACATTCATATCATCAGTTACACAAATTATTATGTGAAACAATTATTTTTTCACTTTAAAAAAATGATGATCAATTTTTACTACTATGCCAAATTTTACTATAAAAATTCTATCTGTCACATGCGAATTGGCAATTAAATTATATTAAATTCTTGAGTCACTATACTAGATAATTTATCATCAAACACATCAACCTAAGTTTTTGATTACTAACAGACTACAAAAAATGGAGTTTAAATTTAAAGATAAATAAACAAATGCAAAAATGGATTTCTTTCAAAACTTTCTATATTGTGATTATTACGAAAAATTCATGGATATGTTAAACCCAAAGAGAATTACTGGAATTTTTAAAAAAAAAAAAAAGAAAAACATATGTGGAAAAACTCACTAAGAAAATGAGTAAATATTATAACTGATATTCAGTATGTGAAGTATGTAAAAGAACTAGCTAAATGGCTTCTATACCTTTAGGACCCTTGGCTCTTCCAACTTTCTTTCAAAATGAAAATACTGCTCATTTGATTATCAAAGCAGTGAAAAATATGAATCTTGATGATCCCGCCATCTTTATTCAATGGAACAATAACGGGTTCAACGACACTCCAATGGCAAATTGTCGTAATGGGATTGCTGACCAGACAAAAGCTGCCATTATCAATTATATTGTAGGAAGTGGTGGTGTAGATTTCAACGATTTGAACGAATTGTTTTTATTTAGAAGTCCCATGGCAATTAGTTAATCTATGCATGGTTTCCCTTTATGGTATGAGAATTTTCATATTTATTTTTGAATTTTTTTAACCACATTCTAATGAATTCTTTTCCATTTTTTGCTAAAGGACTCACCATCAAGCGGGGGTTGCAGATGTTTGTCTTTCTATATGTAGAATAAATAAATTATCAGCTAATGGGCAAATTGAACACGAAGTTTTCAATTATCCCCTCGTGCAGAAGTAAATTATCCAAAGGGATACGAAAATAGTTCAGTAAATCAAAACTTATTTTGCTGTTTTCATTGAGGTTATTTACTTTGTAACAAAAAATATTTTTCACCGAGCTTCTCATATTTGACATCATATCATATAATATTTAGTATATTCATGTCTAGAGCATTTGAATTATTGTATACATGAATGGTATAAAATAGATAATACCCAAACTCCACAAAAAAATAAATTGTTAAAGCATTTACAGAATGTATCAAATTTAATATATGGAACGTAAAATAATAAATAACTTGTTCTGATAAAAAATTTAATTATCAGATCAGCAAGTTATACCAATAGCGATGGATAATTTATTTTTTACCCAAATATCATACGATTCCATCCTGTTTTTATACATTAGAAATCGACGTTAACTATCCACTTATGAAATAAGGATGCTTTGCATCTTGGCATTGGTTCTTTAATTTTCATACTAAATCGAAGTAATAAATTGCCAGCGATCACAAAATATGACGACTTCGTACTATTTATGCCGAATATCGTGCATCGGGTGATCGCTCACCTATAAAATCGTTGACAATTGACAATTCCCCATGTATCACTCGATATT